GGCAAAATGGGAAAACTTCCGGGTCGCCCAGCGGCCGCTGTCGTGTTGCCGGAAAGCAAGAGCGGCTGCTTCCGTAGTTCGCTGCGGAGCCGGCCCCAGAGGCTCATGGGAAAGCCGGGGTCGGAGCCCGAGCGCGCAGTCGCAGCTGCCTCGGGTAGAGGTCTTGGAGCGGATGGTCAGACTGCGCGCGGGCCCTGCAGGTGCGTGGACCTGGGATGGTCTTTCGATTCTGGGGTCCCACAATTATGGGGACCTAGGGGGCATCCCCAGAGCCGACGGCGCCTCCCCGGCCTCCCTCCGCTTGCACACCCCCAGCCACAGAAGCTCTCCCTCACACAGACCTTCCCTGGACAGCTCCTGCTGCTCAATGAGACGTCCTGCTAATGGACTCCCTGGGACCGTCCCTCCTTCAGGTGCTGGACGACCCAGTGAAACGGAATATTTGGACTGGGACCCAGAGTCTTTGTCCGCTGGAGTGGTAGAATGAATCCACGGACAGAGAGTAGTATAGCGAAGGTGGAGATTTATTGAAGAACTAGAGGCCCAGTGCATGAATTTGTGCACTGATGGGATCCCTGCCTGGCTGGTGATCAGGCCCATTGGGTGTCTGGCCAGCCTGGGAGAGAGACTGTGGGAGGTTGGCTGTGGGAGTTCACTGACCACCAGGGGGCAGCTCCTGTGTTGAGTGTCTGCCCCCTGGCGGTCAGTGCACATCATAGCAACTGGTCAACCAGTCATTCGGTCGTTAGGTCGCTTAGGCTTTTATATATATATACAATTTTTATATCAAAGATCAAGATACAGAAGCCAAAGAGAAATCGTAACTTAGTTGTGACATGGAATTTTTGGACTGGAACCTGGATTCTTTGCCCGCAGGAGTTGAAAAATAAATCCACAGACAGAGGGTAGTATAGGCTGCAGATCCTGGTTCCTGTTTTTGACATCCCCTCTGATTGGTCACTATTCCCTTACCATGGTTGGCAAACTGCGGCTCGCGAGCCACATGCGGCTCTTTGGCCCCTTGAATGTGGCTCTTCCTAAGCCTTAGGAGTACCCTAATTAAGTTAATATATATAACAATGTACCTACCTATATAGTTTAAGTTTAAAAAATTTGGCTCTCAAAATAAATTTCAATCGCTGTACTGTTGATATTTGGCTCTGTTGACTAATGAGTTTGCCGACCACTGCCTTAGACTGGTCACTATAGTAACTCCTGAGCTCAAAGGTCCAACCTCACATGGGACACATGAGATTCTCCCCCCTCCTTCCTTCTTGTTTTCCTATTCCCTCTGGGCTTTCTTCTTCTTCTGGATGAAGGGCTTCCTTCTCTTTATTTTGTAAATATAGGCCTTTTGCTGGCCCCAGCTCCCTCATTCTATGGAAATGTACCTGTTGCAACTTTTCAGCTTCCCTATTCTATGGAAATACACCTTATGCGGCTCTGCAGCCCTGTGCTCCCTCCATGGTCCCCTTAATTTCCAAAATTTCTAAAATTGCCTAAACCTGTCTTATTTTACCCCTAAAAAACTGTTTCACCGGCATGCTGTCCTTGAGACCCAAGTTCCACAGCCCAGCCTCCGATCTTTCCAACCAGTACTGTCAGCACATGCTGCCTTCCCATGTTCTCTGGGTTGGGTTTTTAACCTGTGAACTGCTAAGGAGCTGCCGAGGAGCTGTGTCTGTGAACCCCCTGAAAATGGGTGTAAAATTCGGGACAATTGTGTGTGAGGCTTTTTTTTTTTCCTTGAGGAGAGGGGCTATAACTTGAAGTTACTTAAAAGCCCAGTTCACACAATCCCTCCTGACCCTCACCCCAGTTGCTCATCTGGTGGCCCCTATGTGGTCCATCTGCTATGGTGTGATGTGCATGCCCTTTAAAGGTCCGCCCTACTCCCCCATGGGACTGGGATTTCTCAAAAGTAGAGGCCATCCTGTCCTATTCACTCTTGAATTTCTAGAACCCAGCATACATGCTGCAAACTGTGGGGATCACAGCTGTTGCTCTGTGAGATGCCCCACTCCTCCGGAGCACACACAAGGCTGTGTGGCTGGGTGCTGGTGGCTGGGACAGTTGGGGGGGGTG